CAAAAATATTAAGAATAAAATGGGAAGAAGAACATTAACAGATAAATGACAAGGCAATCACCTGACTTAATTCCACTAAATTCTTCAAGAGTTTAAGAGGGAAAAAATAATGGAGATATGGAGCAAGTTAATTGGTAATGCTGAGCTGCTGCTCAGCCTGCGAGATTACTGTAAGGGACTAAAGGACAGGATTTTTAATTCCAATGTATTTTAGACTGTGTTCCATCCTTTTGCCTCATGTACAAACGTGCTCTGGAGATTTGACCAGCTTATCTATGAATTAAATTATGACAACATATGTCATCCTGCATCAAAAAACCCCAAAACTAAAACACCCACTCAAAAAACAACAAACCCCAAATCCCCCAAACCAGCTATTGAGTGTTTAGCATGGTTCAAAAAAAATTAAAAGAAAACCCATCAAAAGGTGATTCAGATGGTGAGTAATGGAAGGATATCTAATAAAACATTAGATAGAGGGGGTAAAAAAAAAATCTTCATACTAATATTAAGGCATGTCTCCATTTTAACAGCATCTAAACAAAGGGGCCCTTTCTCAATTCATATCCTTACCATGCACAACCAGAGCGCATAAGGCCTCTCATTAATACATAAAGTTCAAAATCAAAATGAAATTCTTTGTTCCCATTACTTCCATTAAAATGCTTTTCCAATGACCCTACTAAGACTGAAAATTAGCAATCAAACTACTTTAGTATCTTCATATACATTTGCACTTTCATCAGTAGCTGACCATTTTCCAAATCTTCTTTCAGCCCTGCCATTATTCTGTATCCCAAGTTTATGTACAGTGATCAGTTATATTCTCTCTTTCCTTCAAATTGCAAGGGTAAATAAGGCCTAGTCTTTTAGCTTCCTTCCCTGTTTACCACTAGGGAGTGAAAAGCTTAAGTAAAATAATCAGAACAATAAATAAATAAGATGTTATCATTTTCCTAATCCATATTAGGCATGCTATTAAATTCTGATATTACAAATTGAAAAAGGATTTAAACACTTTGTCAGTAAGTTCCCCATAGTAAAATGAGTCCCTGTGTTGATGGTTGTGTTGTACTAATTAAACAGCTTTAACTAAAATGGTCAGGAAGAATGCACAAGCTGTTTATCACTGCTGCCCTTTGAGCTGCAGTATACTCAAAGGACACGCTACTTTAGATGCGATAATTACTGAGTTCTTACATTTTTACTGAAGAGGCACAGAAGAGTTCCAACAGAGAATTTCACATTAATCAGAAAGAACAGGGTACTTATTAATAATAAAGCCATGATTATAATAGAAAAAAAAACATTTATTCAGTTCAACATTTGTAGGTACTAATTCCAAGAACTGTTTAAATTGATATCAGGCAGAAAGTTTGGTCTCATCTCTCTAGGGAAATTTGAGAAAATTAATCATTTATCTGAAGCATAAGAAATGCTAAAGACTTTTAACTATTCACCCACAAACAATAGCTTATCCTCCATTGTTCTGCTTCTTAAGAGCTCAACAATTTCTCTGACATCTTTTCTTCTTACTTTTTAAAATTCTGATGGAAGTTATTTCTCCATGTATTGGAAATGTCTTCAAACTGTAACACCAAAGACTTACATGAGAGTACAAATATTACTCTTTAGAGAACTCACTTTTAACTTAAGGGCAAAATATGGACAATTAATGGAATTTCATTTCTTGGGTGCCTTCTGCAAAAGTACTCTCTCAAGTTTCAGGAGCATATATACATGGTTCAGAAAAGCTAAGAATCTCAGTTTTAATACTAAAATTTCTATAAAGTTTAAACACCTTTCAAGGGTGCTAGAAGAAAACAATACAAATAGACCCAATTGCATAACAGTAACTTCCTATGAAAAAAAATGTGCCACAAAGGAGACCATCCCAGCAGTTACACAATTTATCAGACTGTGACTATATAATGGAAAAAATCTCCTTATTAATACAACACACAAAGAAAATTAATTCTTGCCTAGCAAGATTTTTGTGCATCTTCCACTTACTAGTACAGAAGCAGAAATTCAGACTCTGCACAGTCAGCATTTAAAAACTACAGGCTGTTTCAGTCAATTAATTTTTTGGCAAGTTGAACCTTGCATTAACTATGGCCTTCAAATAAATATTAGATTAAAAACACTCAATATGCACTAGTACAAAAAAAAATTAGGAGCCTTCAGGGGATTTTATAGATTTCCTTTAGCTTTTAAGTTTATAGATTCTTATTTTGTGTGGATAACCAAAGCACAGTAAAACAGTAATATCAAAGTGATGCAGGCTAAGAAAATTTACTGTTTCATCTTTTGTGTATGTTTATATATACACATATATAAAGCATGTTTGTTAAAACTTATGCTTTAACTAGACCATTATTTTTATGCATCACAAGTAACTTAGGATTCTGTGCACAAAATGGCACTATAGTACTACGCAGCATTCACTACACTCAACCAACCAATATCCTCAAAATTTTAAGTCAAAAATATTTACCATAACAAAAGCTTATTAGAGCATCTTAACATTTTGCTGATTTTTTTTTTTAATTTCTCTTAGTAAAAATATTATTAAATATACATCAGAAAACCAGTTTCTGGTCACTTTTCTTTGAGCAACTTTAGGTTTATCCAACTTTATATCTTTGTAATGCATACAAGACAGTCAGTTAGAAGAAAATTAGGGCAATAGAAAGAATCAACTAGATTTATCTGAGAAACTCACTCTCAGAGTCTATACAGGATGTCTTTCCTATATCTGGTAACAACTAAATTAACTGCTGAATATGAGTAAGAAGTTTCATATACTGTTGTGAAAATTCTCACAGGTAACAACTTCTCTCTTTACACACAAATTTACCTTCACTGGTGAAATTAATACTTATCTGTGAATTTTACACTTTTTTTTTTTAGTAAGTTGGAATCACTGTACTCCAGACCTTCTAAATGCTGTGCTAGCCTGAATTCAATGCAGGTTACTTAATATCTAACTTGCAGCAAGATTTTAGAAATGGCCTACATACTGAATTACAGCTTTTTATTTGTAGGTAGTGGTATATTCTAGTTGATTAACCAATTATTAAGGTTGGGCAGATCCCATTCCAAGTAGCAATGAACAAATACAGGAGCACACAGAGAACACGGGGCTTGGCTCCTCGGTGAAGCCTGAACTACCAGGTCCCACCACAGCAGCAGAAGCTTCCCATTTTCTAGCACACACTTCACATCATCTCACAAGAGCCAACAGCCTTTTTATTCCGGGTCACATGCACACAAATCACAAGCTTCTCCAACTTCCGAATGCCTAAGGGTTTATTAAAATAAATTAGGGACCACTTCAAGGCCGTTCTTCTAAAAGCAAACAAAGAGCTAGCAGTAGCTAGTGAAATCATTTCTTTGTCAGAAACTAGAGACAAACTCTTTCCTGCTCATTTACACTGTATTTGACAATTAACTGGGAGTGAAGACCTAAGCTACTAAACCTTGATTTCTAGAACAGCCGCTTAATAGTTAAGGGAAATCCAACACTTTTTCTTTCAATCCTTGTACAGCAGACATCAAGCTCTGTAGAAACTATAACAAAATCTTTGGCAACTCTTCACAAAGAATACACTGTCAAGTTATAAAACCAGTATTTCAGTAACTAAGAAATGTTTTTAAAAGCCACTAAGCAATATAATTCTAAGATATCTGGAGGTATTAAGTCCAGAGCTACTTACATGGCTCTGTGGAACAACTGCATAGGACAATTGCTCTCAAAAATCTGTAACACTGAGGAGTTTCAAAAGAATTACTGGTTTTGGTGTGGGGACATGTATGCACATACACAGATGTATACAGACACACATATGTTTAATTTGGAAGAAAAATGCAATACAAGAGGAAAGAGATGTCCTTAGGCCAATGCAAATTCCTCTTCCCAAAGACTTTTTCCAATACAGGTATTTTAAGCCAAAACAAAACAACATGAAAACTTGAAAAGGGAGAAAAGATATTTGTCTAAGTATTGAGTTCTGAGTAAGGACTTGCACTTAATTTTATTAATGGAACGTGGCACAGTGAGATTTATTTAGAGGCCTGTATGTTCTAAACAGCAACTGAAATAATAAAATCCATTTGGAGAGCTTAATCTAATTAAGCATACAAAGAAAAGCCACAGAAATATACAAGTGTTACCTCCATTTTTGCGGTTCTGTATTTTCTTCCACTTTATATCACTTTAATGTCCAAATTCCTTACTTGGACCCTGCACTCCTCTACTGCAACAGAACCTGTAAATTCTATCTGGAAAGAATAACGTGGTTTCTTATTTTGTCACTGATCAATGAAAACAGTTGGAGGTAGTTGGGGTAGATTGGTATATTTTGAAAGGACTGTTCTTCCCAAGTAGTTTTTAGAAACACTTCAGATTAGATAAATTCAAAACATTCTCTTTCAGAAGGTAAGTGCACAGTGGAACAGAACACCCCATGGAGTGCACAATATTGACAGGCAAGCAAAGAGTTTTGCTTAAGCAGGGTGGGGAAAGAGGAGAGGACAGGACAACCAACCCTGAGATAAAGACACTTCTATAAGCAACAGAACTGGTTACACAGGTATGGGACAAATAGTAATTGAGACTAAGTACAGTCTCCAAAAGGTCTTTAAAGGGCTCCAAAGCATTCTGCAGCTGACTTAGAGACACACCAAGAAAAAAGCACCATCCCAAGAACTACTTTCCTTCTAAAATTCACTTCACAAGTGTCTCAGGATGGCAAACACTGAATGAACAAGATAATTAGGATCTTACATCTAAGGTTTAACAATCCATACTAGTTTGGTATTTAACACAACCTTCTTCCACTCACACTCACTGCAAATCAAGCAAAGTGGAACATACACTGATTCCCTAGTATCCAAAGCAACTCAGCGTGATCCAAGGGTAGCATCACATGAAATTTACATTTAAAGACGACCACAAGGATCAAAAAATTATTTAGGGACTAAAAAGATATACTTACATCTGGATATTCTTTTACAGGCACATATAGTTTCTCTTGTAACTGTACAATAGGTCCCACAGCATCTGGTAATTCTGCACTTCTCTTCTCCGTACTACCATTTAATGTGTCGTTATACATGTCTTTCCGTACTCTGCTAATTTCTGTGGGGGGAAAAACGCATATTAGGCATTAAATACAGTAACAAATTATAATCCAACATGAAAAATCTTCTCTTTTTATTATTTCCCAAATCTCAATGCCATTTTCTTCCTCTTCTCATGAACATCATAGTAGCTGAAAAATCTGCTCTGGTTTTGTCTTTTTTCTTCTCCTTTGTTTGGGGGTTTTACATCTGGTTTTGGTTTTTTTTGTTTTTTTTTTTAAATTGCAGCACCCATCTTCATATGTCTTTCATGTCCATAAATTTGCTGCCTACTCATCCTGTTTATGGAATTCAGCTATTGATGTAAAAATTACATTCACCTCCTCAAAACACTTACAAGATTGCTCACATCATTTATAAGGTGTATAAAAACAGTTCTTTTATGGTTTTTTAAATAATAGAGCAGCTAGAAAGCACAAAAAATAGAAATATAGAAATCTGTGCCAAACATAAAAAAAAGAAAAATGCATCTATGCAGTATTTTGCTAGTTATGGGATTAACTATAGCTTGGAAATTAAATGGAACATCTTTTAGCTATGGGAAATAGGACAACTTAATGGCGCAGCTCATGTACACATGGTGTGACAACAAACTGGTAGATATTGTTCTACTGCCTACCCTCAAAGAGACAACAAAAATAACAAAGTCAAGTGTGTTATCAGAGACCTGGGCAAGCTCTCTGTGCACTCAGAAGCCCTACTACTTCATTTCAAAGTAATGAAAAACTCCTCAAGAGCACCAGGGAATGCTGAGGGTGAACTTTTAAGTACTGTTTCTACCATTTGCACCTGTGTTACTCACACCTTGAAGTATTTACTTGGAAGAAGCAGTTTAGTAGTTACAAACAAGGTAGTTAAAAATGGGTAATTTAATTAAAATCTACATTAGTGTCACTAAGCTATCACAGTCTGAAAATGAGCACAAAACTTCCTTTTGTTTAAGCAAAAAAGACATTTAAAAGAAGTTACATTTTACTTCTATATCTGTTGAACGTGGTATTTAAATTGCTGCTATAAGAATCAGAAGTTTCACATTTGATAACTTATGGAGTCCCAAATAGTGTAAAAATCTTCTCAATGAGCTTATTTCAGTATCACCGAATAACTACTTAAAATTAATGTATTGACCAAGTTTCAAACCAAAAACTAACATTTCAACAGGTTTGTTCCCAAAGCATAAGACTGACAATAGCATGGGCTGTAAACAAAGCAATCACTAAATCCAGTCCTTTACGTAGAAGTGCAACAACTGCTTTTAAAACATCCAGAATAAAACATGACACCGAAAACAGAAATCTTATGTTTTCATCTAAATACAGGAAGCCACAGAAAGAAGAAGTCACTTGAAACTCTAGCAGCAGACAAGAGATTAATATAACCTCTGTTTCATAATCAGTTTCTTCTCTGGCAAATGATTAATAGCTGAGATTTCACCACCTGAAAAGCTGTGGGGTGGTGGAGAGCATGAGAAAGGAGACATCTCTCAAATGCATATTCAAGAACAAGTTGTTTCTCTGCTGGAAACCGACACAGTCATGTGTACTGTATCATGATTTGGTAGTTAACACCTGTTTACAATGGGGAACAGAAATTTTGTCACCATATAATCATAATGGAAGGGAGAAAAATCCTCATCTCCTTCTACACAGACAATTTTGGCAATGAGCACAAATTCCTCAGAACTACAAGCAGTATTTATACCGGCTTCAGTATATAAAGAAATTCTTTAGCAGAGCTCTTTGAACAAATACTACTATACTTTGTTCCCTTTTCATTCTCTTCAGATTTTCCATTAATTTACACTACACTGAAACAAGCTAGGCAGTCTGTAGAAGTACTGAAGCCTAAGTAGCGACATGGTCATTTTTATTTTTAGTTGCAGCTACTGAGTAGCCGCACCAAAATTTTCCTTTTAAAATAGATCTTTCATGCAGAATACAATCACTAACATTGGATATCATAGTCTTCACAGGAGAAAATGAACTTTTATTTTAATCTTTCCTTTGCAAATAATCCTATGACACATTCATGACACTTGAAAGTCAAACATTCAAAACACACACAGGTAGTATGAGAGCTGGCTTGAGGACTACCCCTCAATTTCAGCTTGTGTGAAACCTAAGCTATCTATCACATCTCAAACTTTATAGAGAATGTAGACATCTACCAATTCAGTGGAGTAGAAAACTCCACTACAGGACCAGACACCTGAACTTGAGTTTTCTTGGCATGTGTAGGTTTGTACTTTCTCTCTCTACATTCAAGCCAGCAGTAAAGGTAACAAGCATCAGGACAAGGACAGTCACCTACAGCTCCTCAAATGCTACCATTTCTTCTGCATCCTGGAATTTTACTTTCTCTCCTGTCTTAGATACTTTCTCCAAGAGTATAATATTTCAGAAGAAACATTCAGCAGCCACAGATGAAATAACAGGCATGTATTCCCACTTTTCTTTAACTGCTGATCCAGTCTCCAAACTCCACTTCTGCGCAACACATTATCTACGAAACTCTCTTTCCACTTCTCTTAAATTTGACAGGACTGAAGGATTACTGCTTAAATGCTAAAATAGTTACATCAAATCTCTAGTTCACCCATTGTCTCTCACTCCTAACTACAGATGGAGTACAACCTATCTTCCTTCCTTCCTACGAAACTAGCGCAGCTGACCACAAGCATTCTCCCAAATGCACAACTCATGAATTTATCTGCTTGCTATGCCTCCTGGGTTTTTTCAGATTCTACTGAATACTTCTACACATCTGCAAGATTACTTTTTTTTTCATGACTAACAGCAGTTTTCTCACATACCTGCCTCTTGTTTAATCACACCTCTGGTGCCTCAACAAGACTCCATACAAAGTATTGAATTTTGATGACATAAACTTTCCTTTTATGGTCTCCATCACACCCAATTCAAGATTCCAGTCTCTTGAGTATCTTGCAACTTTGCCACTCACTTTAGACAGTTATGTGTATTGACAGAATTATGTGGTACTGTATTTTCAGCACTTCCCTCAAGTTTACCAAGAATTAGTAAGGTTTCAGAAAGCATCACCAGCAGCACATTAGAGGAGATAAAAGCTCTGCTTTCTCAAGCTGCAGCAAGTACCATTTTATTCTGTTCTGAAATACATTAAAATACCTAAAAATCTGAGGAGCAGTGCTAAAGTAGGAAGGTCAAATCCTCCAAGAACACCTTTTTATTTTTAGCACTGAATTCACATATTAAAGAAAAAAAGCCAAGGAAACAGTATTTTATTTAGACTTATTTCACATTTCTGACACACTACCAAGTAGGTCTTCTCATGCCCAAAAGCTTCTTTGGTATGTCTCTCATGATATCACACTTTTCAAGTTCATTTATAAAGTTTTAGCTCCTTCACATTTACAATTCTTTAGATTCTTCCCTCTCACAGAAAGCCAACTGGTTCAAAAATAAGGAAAGCTTTACTTTCCAAGCGAACATCTAAGTACAATTTTAGGTATTTACCTCTGTCTTAATGCTGCAGTGGTAATTACATTGTATAACACTCTAAAGATTAACAGAGGGCTAGTAAGGAGAGATACTTTAAATCGTAGATATGACTGAAAAAAAAAAACAAACCCAAAGGCATACAGCAGCTTCCCCATATCTCTAAAACCTGTGATTTCTGCCAATGCATTTAAAGGATTAACGTTCCCATCTCTACTGTAGGCAAAAGCAGAAACTCAATTTCAAAACCTACAATATTCACCTTTAACAATACCCTGGCCTATACATTCAAAGTAATAAGTTTAGCAGTAAATGACAAATTTGTCTTGCTCACAGCAGGGTAGTGGAGAAATAATTTTAAAAGAAGAGACAAACTGGTTTCAATATCTTTATCTTGTTCCACCTTAATTCAGCATGACCTAGTTAGCCATGGTAGCAATGACATGCATTCTGGTCCAGAGGACATTTTTCTTCCTCTGTCCCTGAAACTATACAAGTAACAATCTTTTGTTTCCTTTATCTACAGAGCATATTTTTCAATCTCTCTAATACCTTTCTAAGATATGTTTTGAAGCAGGATATACTGTTCATACTGCTTACATCTGTCTACAGATATGTACTGTTTTGATCTCTTCATTAAACTTAAGAGTATTCTTCCCCCTAGAATGCACAAAGAACAGTGTTCATGTGAGTGTTTGTCATCACATTAGACACCATCAAGAACTTACTCATTTTCAGCTGTCAATTATTCCTTCAGAGGAAGTAAGACTCTGCACATGTGTTTAAGACTGATGGGTTGCAACATAAAATGGGTTTACATAAACCATTCTGCAAGAATATTCAAAGTAGGAAATCACTGAAAAGATTCAAATCCTTCCTGTCCCACCACTTTGCAAACCCCTTTCATCACCAGCAGCCACAGCTTTATTATTTCTCACCATGAAAGCTTCTTCTACATTATGAAGTTTTATCTTTTGGAAGAGCAGCAGACTTACTGTTTTTAAATTGATGCATTCCTCACTGTAGTTTATTAAGCTAGAACTAAGAATTTGAAGAACTAAAATAAATTTTCCAATATTCCAATTTAGCTACATCCATTTCAACAGAATTAAACTGATGCCACTCTCAGCTTATGTTTTTTCCTAAAACCATGTTAAGTCATCAACGCACACAGAATTTCATTTCTGAAACTAACAGAAGAGCACCTTAACTATCATTCATTGTTTTACAATACACAGCAAGTGGGGCTGGAACAATCCAATAGTCAAAATCAGCAAGAGATGCAGAATTAATCAAAACACTAATGATCTTCTAATACCAGCAGGCATGCTTCCTTAACCAAGTGAAGCACCAGGCTTTCAAAGATTCTCAGGCACAAGCTAGTTTCCATATGAAAAAATAATGAAGTTAGGAGCAAATGTTTAAAGTTAAAAGTTTAAGAGTTGTGATAAGAATAACAGCTATGTTCATATAGCTAAAAATCTACATGGTACTTGGATCTCACTGATGCATAAAACATCAG